AAAACAAACTCTGACTAATGATGTTTATGAGTCTTGGTTGAACAGAAAGATTCAGGTACACAAATACATGTTCCGGTGTAGGAACAACAGAGTTTGGAAGACTTGATGATGAATGCAAGCTTTCAAGATGTCCTCACAACTCTATATACTTAGTTACTCAGTGTACGAACTTAAGAAACAAAAGTGTTGGAAAGAATTAAGAAGAAACTCGAAGTTCCTGAAGGAACCTGAAGTTCCTGAAGGAACCTGAAAAGGAACTTGACGATTGACTCAGAAAGTTTAAACGAAAGTTTTAAAACAGTTTTCATATCCCTTAATTTAAGGAAGTGATAAAAATCAGTTTTGAAAAAGATTTTATAAATAAATAAATAATTCATTAATTTAAAAATATAAGTTTTAAATTAATTAATTATTTATCTTTTAATTAATAAATAAATAATTATCTTTTTTATTAAATAATTATCTTTTTGAATAACTGATTTTTTTGACTTGGTAAATACTGGCTCCTAGTATTAAGGAGAACGTTGAACTTGGGAGTCAAGCTAAGGAAATCATGTTCCTAAATTTCCTCTACCTACATCCCAACTTCTTAGTCAAAGAGAACGTGGGATTAAGGGGGAAGTGGGAACTTGATGGAAGCTTGGTTTAACTCCTTATAAAAACAGATCAACGTTAAGTTTTGAAAGTGTGGAAAAACAATCTTAAGTATTCTGAGCATAAAGTTTCAAAGTGTTTAAAAGAGAAGTTCCTTCCATCCTTACTCTCTTAAGTTCTTTAGGAAATACTTGTAATCATTGTGTAATTGGGTTTGGGTTGTGAGAGTTGTAAAGTGTGAGACTTGAGAGAGTTGTTTACACTGTACAAGTGATTCGGAGTAGAATCACAAAGTGTGAGAAACTGTGATTGAGGGATCACAGTTGGGTAACTTGAGTTCCTCACGGAACTTGAGTCTAGGCAACGTATTAGTGATTGTAAATCATTTTTACATAGTGAATTTATTCATTGCCTATCTCAGTGTCTTTTCTCTTAGTAGTAGATTTAATTCCGCAAAATTTACCATAGTCTACATACACTACGATTCCCCTCTTGTAGTATACATTGTTCTATCAATGACATTACCAGTGTGGTTGCTGCATTGAATGCCATGCCATTGACAGCAATTTTTGTTATCATCGTCATCTTCCCAAGTCGACAGGAGGCGGCAACGATCGACTTGGATGCCCTCTTTGAATTTCAACAAAGCTTCTCTTTCTTTCTCAGGACACATGATGTCGTTGTGGTGACTGCCAACGGGATTATTAATCCCATGATCAGCAAAACTAAAGTATGAAAGTAGCAAAAGCCAAGAAAGCAGGAGAAGATTAGATGTATTATTCATTGTATTTATTTATGATTAATAGATGAGTGTGTTTGATGGTAAATATGCTTAAAATTTTTAGGTATACATAGAAATATAATCATTGTTCTTAATTTTTTTTGTTTGAATAGTAAAATCAATTATCATTGCTCATTTGTTACGGCTTGATGAGCTGATGGTGACTAATGCAAAAGCTACAAATTTCGTTGTAATACAAATATTACTCCATATTTTTATTATTATGTACTCCATTTTAACCAATACGTTTGCATTATTATAGTCGGTTGTATTTGTTAAACTCGTCCCCAATGTATACTTTAATTTATACATATTGATAAATGATAACAAAAGATTTTATTGGTTAAATTTTATCATAGATTAAAAAAATAATAAAATCTACCCATATCTCATATAATGAATACTTGAAGTCTTTAAAAAAATAATAAAAAAAAAAAAATAAAAAAAAAAAACTTGAAGTCTTTGAAAATAGGTAACTGGGTCTTCACGTGAAGTCTTTACACTTAGCCATTCAACTTGTATGAGCATATTGATTAACATGACTCAAATCCGAACTAGACTAAAATTGACTTGACTCAAATCCGAACTAGACTAAAATTGACTAGACTTTATTTAACCGACCCAATTCCTAGAGTTGATCACCTCTACCTATATCACTATATGTGGCTTTTGTTTTTTTTATTTCTTTTTCTTTTTTGTTTTTTCTTTTGTTTTATCCATATAATAAAAAATTAGGTAATAAGTAGACTTTTCTAGATTTAAAAGTCTTGTAATCCTACTAAATTGTACCGTCACAACCTCACATTTGTATTACAAGACTTTATGTATACTACTATGGTCCTATAGAAAATTCTTTATTATTGTGCATATTATTGAATTGAACCCCTACCTTTATCTTTTAAAAAGTGTGAGTAAACTTTTATTATTAGTGTTGAGACTATTATAATGTCCCTATAAATATTATTTACGTATTTATCCCTTTTAAAAAAAAAGTACTCCGAATGACCACACTATAAATAGTGTTAAGACACTTATGTCCCTAAACTATTTATTTACACCATATTTGCCTTCAATTCTTCATCAATGTTAATTGTATTTTTTTTAACATTCAAGAATAGCGGGCGTATATTTATATCCCTAAAAATATTTATTTACATATTTCTCTAATTAACGTTACTAACAAATATTACTCCATATTTTTATTCGGAAAATTTGTGAATAAGGTCCTTTTAAATAGACCTTTTTGTGACAAAGGTCCTTTTTATAAAAAAAAGGTGGCACAAAAGGTCCTTATATTTTGTTTAGGTTGTAAAGAGGGTCCTTTGGCCATTTTTCGGTGTTGACTTTTTTATTTTCCGGGCAAAAAAAGCCACGTGTAAAGCATGTAACTTATGAAGTTTTCTTTTTTCCCCGTTTTCTCTCATTGTGGGGAGAATTAACCTTGAATTACTTTGAATAGTCTTCAATTTTAATTTATGGGATTACAATTGAAGTTTTAGTGTTAATTGTTTTAAGAAATTAGGGTTTAATAGGGGGGGGGGGGAGAGGGAAAAGAGAAGGGAGAAAGAAGGGAACTTAAATGTAACTTTTTTTGGCCGGAATATAAAAAAGTCTACGCTGAAAAATGGTCAAAGGACCCTCCTCACAACCTAAACATGATTTAAGGACCTAAATTTTCCTTTTTATTCTTATGTACTCCATTTTGACCAATACGTTTGCATTATTATAGTCAATTGTACTTGTTAAACTCGTCCCCAATGTATGCTTTAATTTATTTTTTTTGAAACCATGTATGCTTTAATTTATACATATTGATAAATGATAATAAATTAAAAGATTATATTGGTTAAATTTTAGCATAGATTTAAAAAAAAATAAAAATTAAAACAACCGTAATAGTAGCATTTTATCTCTTATACTGAATACTTTAAGTATTTGAAAATAGGTAATGGGTCTTCACGTTAAGTCTTTACAATTAGTCATTCAACTTGTATGAGACTATGAACATATCTATTAACTATTACTAAAACAAAAGTTGCAGAAGTCATTTTTGTCCACGTGTTGCTTTTTCAATTAAAATTTTCCCGCCTAAATGCAATGATGATGTTATCTTTTATTTTTGGTTTACAAGGTCAAACATAATTCTGATGGCACACTCGAGAGATTGAAGGCTCGTCTTGTTATCTTTGGTAATCATCAGGTTGAGGGTATTGATTACAATGAGTTCCCGTTGCTAAAATGGTCACTGTTCGTGCTTTTCTTGTTGTCGCTGCTGCAAAGAATTGGGAATTGCATCAGATGGATGTCCATAATGCATTTCTTCATGGTGATCTTGATGAGGAAGTTTATATGAAGCTTCCGACTGGGTTTCATGGCTCTCAACTTGGTATGGTGTGTCGTCTTCTGAAGTCGTTGTATGGTCTTCGACAAGCACCTCGTTGTTGGTATTCTAAATTGGCCGCCTCTCTGAAAAGGTACGGATTTGTGCAATCGTACTCTGAATATTCTCTTTTTACTCTGCAATCTGGGTCTATACAACTTAGTGTTCTGGTGTATGTTGATGATTTGATAATTTCTGGTAATGATTCTTCTGCAATTTCAACATTCAAGTCATACTTGAGTGACTGTTTTCATATGAAAGATTTGGGTGTTTTGAAGTATTTTCTTGGTGTTGAGGTTGCTCATAGTCCTGAAGGCATATTTTTATGTCAACGGAAATATACACTTGACATTATTGCAGAGTCTGGTTTGCTAGGTGCTCGTCCGGCAGGTACTCCTATTGAGCAGAATCATACTCTGGCAAAATCAGAGTCCTCTTTCTTTTCTGATCCAGAGCAGTATCGACGGCTTGTGGGCCGTCTGATTTATTTGTCTTTTACTAGACCGGATTTGGCATACGCGGTGCATATTTTGTCTCAATTTATGCAACAACCGCGACAGGACCATTGGGAAGCGGCTCTTCGTACAGTGCGATACTTGAAGGGATGTCCGGGTCAGGGAATCCTTTTGAGTTCGGATTGTGATTTACATATTACCGGTTGGTGTGATTCAGATTGGGCAGGTTGTCCCTTATCGCGCCGTTCTATCTCTGGCTGGTTGGTGTTTCTTGGTGCTTCTCCTATATCTTGGAAGACTAAGAAATAGGACACTGTGGCCAAGTCTTCTTCGGAGGCTGAATTTCGCTCAATGTCTAAAACCACTGATGAGTTGAAATGGTTAAAGGCCCTTCTTTTGAGTTTGGGTGTCTCTCATCCTCGTGCTATGAGTTTGTTTTGTGATAATCAATCTGCTTTGTATATGCGAAGAATCCGGTTTTCCATGAGCGTACCAAGCACATTGAGGTTGATTGTTATTATCTTCGTGATGCGATTCAGGATGGTATCATTAGTCCGTCTTATGTGAAGACAACGGACCAATTAGCGGATATTTTCACCAAGGCTTTGAGTAAAAGTCAAATCATGTATTTACTTGGCAAGTTGGGCATTTGTGATTTGCATGCTCCAACTTGAGGGGGGGTGTTAGGGCCTATAATTAGTGTTTATATTGTATAGTTAACGGGCCTATTTCTTGAGCCCTAATCTCTTGTATAAATACTCTACTCTACACTCTAATGAAACTACGGAATTTATTTCGTGACATGCCCGCTCAATAAATTGTGACCAAGATTGAGGTTAATAAGGGAAGTACAATTCATCATCGATCTCGGGAAGTCTTTCGAAAACATATTGTTGGCTAGGTGTAGTGACTGAAGTTTATTCAAGTAGCCAAAAGAAGATGGAATACTAGCCGAAAACTTATTGTTCTCTAAGTTCAGAAACAACAGCTGGTCAAAATTCATCCAACAATCTAGAAGTTCTCCAGACAACAAGTTGTTTGAGAGGTCAAGATTGTGAATATTTGTTTTGGATTTAGGACACAAGAAAGGGAAATGGTTAGAAAACTTGTTGCTACTCAAGTAAACAGAAGTAACATGTTTTGGAAATGATGGTATTTTCCCTTTAAAATGGTTAAAGCTCATATCTATGTCAAAAAATTGACTAGAAGTACTAGGGACTATTATTTGTAAATCTGGGAGTGTCCCATATATATTGTTGTGAGAAATATTAAGATTGACCAAATTTGGTGGCAATGATTTCCAAAAGGAGTTCGGAATACTATCTGAGATTCCGGCACCAGAGATATCAAGCCAAGAATATTTGGTTTGTTTTTGAAGCCATTTTGGAAACATTGGTCCCAATCTACAAGATCCTAAATATATTGTATCGAATTGAAATGGTGGAACCAAATTGTCATCCATATTGAGCACCAACGCTGAATTGTTTGACAAATCCAAGTTCTTCAATCTTGAAAGATTTGAAAAGTGATTGTTGGAAAGAGTACCTTTCAAAGAATTAGATGAAAGATCCAAGGTCTCTAGCATAGTCATATTTCTCAATCTCTGAGTAATTGTTCCATTCAATCGATTATTGTAAAGATACAATTCTTGTAATGAAGAAAAGGTATCAATTGTGTCTGGAATTGGACCCCAAATTTGGTTGGACTCCAACCATAAAATCAATAATGATTTTTTTGTACACCCATTTAGTGTTTGGATTATGTCGCCGAGCTCTTGGGTGAGATTGTTAAGAATCACATCAAGTTTTTGTAAGCTACACAGATTACCAAGTGAGCTTGACAAGAGCTTGAAATTATTGGATGAGAGATCGAGATATGTGAGGTGCTTGATGTTTGGAATTGAACTTTCTAATTGATTGAAGCCGAGTTTGAGATATGAAAGGGACTTCATGTTTCCAAAAGAAGCTGGAATTATACCTTGCAATTTATTGTGAGAGAGGTCGAGATATGAAAGATCATGCATATTCCCAAAAGAAGTTGGAATTGCACCTTGCAAATTATTTCTAGAGAGGTCAAGATACGAAAGAGATTGCATATCTTCGAATGCATTAGGAATTGATCCTTCAAGTCGATTAAATTTGAGATTGATATGTACAAGGTGAGGGTTATTATTACTCAAATTGAACAACCATTGGAATATTCATGAATTCAAATTGTTCATCGCTAGACTAATAGTTGAAAAAGTGGTTGAGGAATTTTGTATGAAAGTGACCGTGGATATCTAGGATTAAGTTTACACCGATCTAAGTATAGAACTTCTAATGATGGAAAGTTGTTCATGATTTGGAGCCAGTCTATAGCTATACTAAGATCTACACCACTCAAGTTAATGTATCTCAAAAATGTCAAGCGTGAAAGCCATGACAAGTTTTTTACATAATGATTGTAATTGATGTCCTCAGTCCCATACAAAAAAATAAATTCAATAGAAGAATAAGAACTGAGATCAAGATATATTAAGCGTGACAGATTTCCGAGCTGGTGAGGTGAAAAGATTAAGGGCTCAAACTAATTGCAATCAACCCACAAGAATGAAGAACATGCAAGCACAATAACTAAGAACAACCATGAAGAAATCAAAGCAAAAAAAGAGAGACAAAGTTACCGTGGGAAAACCCGAGAACCGGGAGAAAAAACCCACCTTGCACTATGGAGTAGTATTGATGATGAATGAATCAAGATTACAAGCATGAATCGTATGGAATTCCAATGCTCCTCACAAAACCTCTCAAAAACCCTCTCTTAGTGTTTAAAATTTTGTAAAAAAAAAAATTAGAGAAGAAGCAAAACAAAGAATATATATAGTCTAGGTAATAAACGACAATCCAAGGGCTAACAATTAAACAAGAAGCACGGGCTGAAATCGAGCCGTCGAAACAGAACAGTAGGGGGTTCGGCTGAACCTACCCTCTGTTCGGCCGAACCTACCCTCTGTTCGGCCGAACTTGAGGTGGTTCGGTCGAACCCCCTTTGGTTCGGTCACTCCTCCAAATTTGCAATTTTTTCTCAACTCTCTGCCTCAAGGTTCGACCGAACCTCAAAGTTGCTTGAACTATGTTCGGTCGAACTTCCTTCAAAAAACTTCCTCTTTAATTCTTCCTTATGCCTCCATATATTGATGCATCTCCACACTAATCCTAACAATCTCCCACTTGGAGATAAGATCAATAATGCATACACCATAGACATCCATATATACACTCCTTCCTCAAGAGCACTCAACACATTCATCAAAACAATTTTTCACCATAGCGCAACACTCCATCAAGTTAATGATGGAGTCCAATTGAGGTCCTACACAACCTCAATTTGTCACTAGGAACCACCTTAGTGAGCATATCCGCCGGATTCTTTGAACCGGCAATCTTCCTCAAACACATCGTGCCATCCTTCACCAAACTCCTAGTGTAGTGATAGCGTCTCTTGATGTGTTTAGTGCGATAATGAAACATAGGATTCTTAGCCAATTGAACCGCACTTTGGCTATCACTATACAACGCACAAACATCTTGTTTCATGCCCATTTCTTCAAAAAAACCCTTCAACCATTCCATCTCTTTTCCCGCTTCCGACATAGCCACATACTCGGCTTCCGTCGTAGACATAGAGACACACTTTTGGAGCTTGCTCATCCAACTAATGGCCGTACCACCAATAGTGTACACATACCCCGAAGTGCTTTTTCTTGAATCATAACATCCACCAAAATCGGCATCAACAAAACCTTCCAAGACAACTTCATTTCTTCCAAAGCAAAGAGCCATACTTGAAGTACCCAACAAATACCTCAATAGCCACTTCACGGCTTCCTAATGTCTCTCACCCGGATTTGACATGGTGAAACGCTAAACATCGCCCGCAATTTACCATATAAAGCCCACAAATATGTTATGATTTGACCATTATGCCCTTTTGCTAAAATTGAAATAATCTCGGTGTAAAAAATGTGGAGCCGTACTGGCTCGCCGGGGGAGACCGGATGGCAGGCCGGAGATGCGGGGGACGCCGGAGGTACGTCGTCGTCGACGGAAAACGAGGTAAGTCACCGTTAAAATTCACGGTTTACCGTCGGAGTGGCTCCGGCGCCTAGGGTGGACGCCCAAACCGTAGCCTGGACGTCCAAGTCGGACGCCAGAACCACCAGAGTGGCGTCCAGGCTAGACACCCAGACCACCAGAGTGGCGTCCAGCCCAGACGCCCAGACCACCAGACTGGCGTCCTGGGCAGACGCCACTCCACTAGGTGAGGCGGCCCTGCCAGGCGCCAGTCTAGTGGCTGTGGCAGCCCTGGCAGACGCCACCTTTAATAATTAATTTTTATTTTTTCCTTTTTGATTTTGTTGTTGTTTTTTATTTAATTTTTTTGTGAAAAAAAATCGAAAATGATTTTTTAAAAAAATTCGAAATGGGTTTTTTGTAAATTAAATTTGAAAATTCGAAATAGGTTTTTTAAAATTAAATTTGAAAATTCGAAATGGTATATTTTTAAATTTAGTTTGAAAATTCGAATTGGGTTTTTATAAAAATTAAGTTTGATTATATATAATTATGTTTTTTTTTGTGTTAATTATGTGGAAATATAGAAATTAAATGTATTATCCGTTAAATGTATTTATTGTAATATATAATTGATGCAGGAATATGGTGGAGACGGAAATGATTACAGTGGGATATTTGGACATGATGGTCCATTCGATGAAGCTCAACAGGCGATTGATTGGGCAAAACAGGTTGCAATTGCAGCTGGATTTTGCTTGGTAGTAGCAACTCATAAATCTCAACGGGATGGTAGAATGGATCGCATTTTGAGATGTGACCGTTATCGCAAAAGAGAAGAAATAGATTTTCGTACAGCCACTCGGTTTGACACAAAGCGGAAAGGTTGTGGGTGTGAGTTCAGAGTAAAGGTTCGACAACTACGGAGTCGTGACGGTTGGGAAGTGATAGGTTACTCTAAATGGGGGTATCACAACCATGAGATGATAGTATATGAAGAGGGTCATCGACAACTGAGCGGCTTAAGTCCTGCTGCGAAACTAGTTGTGAAAGAAATGAGTGATGCTCAAGTGAAGCCTGCTAAAATATTAGCATCTGTGTTAGAGAAATTTCCAGAAGACCATCCAAACCGAAGACACATCTACAACGTCAGACAACAGCTCAGGTTTGAACGGTCAGAGGGAAGGAACCCTATACAGCAGCTGCTACACCAGGCACAATCACGTGGTTACCTGTTCTGGTTTGATTCTGATGAAGATACAGAGGAGGTGACTCATCTTTTCCTTGTGCATCCTGATTATGCTGATATGATCAAGTCTTGGCCATTTGTGATTTTGATCGACTCAACGTACAAGACAAACAAGTACAAGTTCCCTCTGGTTGAGATGGTTGGGATGGCTCCAACGAACCAGAACTTTCTGATTGGTCATGCAATCATCAGGGATGAGACGGCTCCAAGTTATTATTGGGTTTTGGAGAAGCTGAGAAACTACATCGGGCCTAATGTTCATCCAGCAGCCATCGTCAGCGACTGTGAGGGAGGTCTCTTTGCCCCCATAGCAGAGCTGTTTACCGAATCGAACCACTTATTGTGCACATGGCACATCAACAACTGCGTGAAAGTGAAAGCCTACAACCTTTTCAAGAAGAATTTGGAAATGGCAGAGAGATTGGTGAATGGTAAGTGGCGGAAGATCCTACAGGCTACCACAGAGGAAGCGTATGAGCGAGCATTGGCTAACTTCAGGGATTCGTACCAGTGGTGTCCGGCACTGGTGGACTATGTGATGCATCAATGGGTCCCTCACAGGGAAAAGTTTGTCAAATATTGGACAAACCAGGTACTTCATTTTGGGAACACTACAACATGTAGAGTTGAGAGCGCTCATAGAGCTACCAAGGACTGGATTGATTCATCGACCGCTGCTTTGGATACACTGTTCGCTAGACTGAACAAGTCAATTGAAACTCAGAAGAACGACATCAGGAACTCTCTAGAGGACTCCAGACGACGACATGGTACGATGTATAGCCATTTTATATTTAAGATTCTCCATGGTCGTGTGTCGCACTACTGCTTGGGGTTGATTCTCACTGAGCTGAACAGGGTGAGGGACTTGGCTGACGAAGTGTATACTCGGTGTGGGTGTACTATTTCAGTAACTCATGGATTACCTTGCGCATGCACCATTCATCGCGTTATTACAGAAGAAAGGGCGTCGTTACATGTTGATCAGGTCCATTCATTCTGGAGGACGCTTGTTATTGGTGAGCATGCAGACAATCAAACGGCCGACCGTGAACAGGAAGAGTTGGAGCAGTTCCGTTCGATGTACGACCGAGTGTCCTCCAGCCATCCTTCTATTATTCGTGACGCTACTCATGTGCTTCATGACATGTTCCACCCGTCTAACTTAGATTATGAGGAACCCGAAGGAGTTGACCGTCCTCGAGGTCGACAACGGCGGAACAGGAGTGCGTTTGAGTATATCCGTGGTCTTGGTCGTGGTCGTTCTCGTGGTCGGACATCGTCATCTAGTCGTAGTCAATCTTCATCGTCTGTGAATATGCCCCTGAGAACTGGTACATTTTGGTTGTTTTTATTGCACATAGTTTTAAAGTGTTACTCCTGCCTTCTTAACTGTCTATAATTAATTATTTGGTGAATAGGAAGAAACGATGTTGATCAGTTTCCGTACAAGGAAAGGATACCTGCGATCATCATGTCGTACTTGGAAGGGTGGAATGATGTAATCGGAGATGGTAACTGCGGATTCCGGGTCGTGGATGATGTTTTTCAAATGGGCGAAGACAACTACGGTTTGGTGCGTGAGTTGATGTACAGCGAAATTGCCTCTAACCGAAATGTTTATCGTCATGTGTACCAGGATGACTTGGATGACGCTCTCCGGCGTATCCGGTGGGGAGGTGGACCTTGCGGCGAAAATCATTATTTTGACGCGCCCCTAGATCTGTTTGCCGTTGCAAACATTTACAAATGCGCAGTCATGCATTTCGGCCTGGGAGTGCATAGTCAAGC